ATCCCTTCTCCTCCATTCTCCTCTCGGGATCTTGGGCATGCACGCACATGCGCCTGGCGTGAGTTTTAAGCCACTGGGTCTGGGACGTGAACCGCCGTCGACTACGTGGGAGTCCAGCGACATAGCCGTTATGCTAACTGCTGGTTCCCGAGATCTTTTTAAAATTAGTTTCTGGGGGCTAGTAGGTGGCGTGTTAGTTAAGGCGCTGGACTCCCATATGATTGACTGAGGTTCAAGTCTCGGCCTGGTAGCTTGCTTTCTTTCCCTCTCTCTCTCTTGAGTGCACATGCCCTATAGCAAACTTTAAAAGAATAATAATAAATAAAATTAAATAATTCTTTAAAAAGTAGTTTCTGATTCATCTGAGATGAGGCCTGAGATTCTACATTTCTAAAAAGCATTCAAGATCCCGAGAGGAGAATGGAGGAGAAGGGATTGCAGCGTGACCATCCCCCCTGGGGGGTGATTTCTCGCTTTCTGTCTCTATGTCTCTCTCTGTCTGTCTGGCGAACACACGCACCCTATAGCGAAAAACCTCTCCAAAAAAAAAAGCATTCAAGTGATACTGGTGCTGCTGGTTGATAATTCTAAATTTCTCAAGTATGATTATGATATTATATTATTATATAATATTAATATAAATATAATATAATGTGTTCCTTCTTTTTTTTTTTATGTTTTTGCCATAGGTCACATCCACTGACTAGAGAGACATTGAGAGGGAAAGTGAGAAGTCATCCCCATAACCACACACCCCCTCAGGGGGGATGGCCACACTGCAGTCCCTTCTCCTCCATTCTCCTCCTGAGAATTTAGGCATGCATGCACGCACAAGCGGCTGGATTCTCAAGCTGCCAGGTCTAAGACTCGAACCACAGTGAGCCATGTGGGTGGCATTAACCACCATACCATCTGCTGGCCCCAGAATGTGCTCATTTAGAATTTAGGAGTGAAAAATCATAATGCGTGCAACTAACTTTCAAGTGGTTGGACAGGGAAAAAATGCACACACGTGTGCAAGGATGTGTGTGTGGGAGTGTGGGGAGAGGATAAGATGTGCAGCTTAAAATTTATAGTCCTAATTAACCTGAGTCTTTTCTGTATATTTTCAAAGGAATGAAGACATCAAGCTGATTCTCTCAGAAAACAGTTTTTCAAGTCCTCAGCTGCTACGATCTCGATATTTGATGTACCCTGGCTGGCAAGTATCATCATTGACAACTAGCTAACGTTACTTTGTACACTCAGCCATGTATTTATAGAAAAGGGAGAGAGTAGAAATACCAGATGCGCTCTACGAAGGTGACACATGGTAATGGGCATGGCCTGTCATGTCCCAGCAGCCTCTGGCTCACCAGGAACCCAAGCTCCAAATCAGGAGCCTTCCTGAATGTGGAGGGTATGGAGTCACTCTGCAGGCGCCAAGCGCCGTGGTGTCCTGTGTTTTGTCTAGCGTGGGTGAGGTGGCTGGCATGGAGCCAGGGAGTTACAACCTTCCCAGGCAAGAGTGTCCCCGAGATTGCGGGCAGCCAGTCTCCTCGCATTCCTATCTGAGAGGTAGGCACTGCTGCTGAGGTGGCCTTGGGAATGTTCTTTCCCCTGCAGCCTGCCTCGCTGCCTCACAGCCTGTGAACCTCTCCAGGGGAGAGATCCTCTGTAGTCATATCACACCAACATTTATGTCAATTATTTAATTAAATTAAACGTAAATTAATAAAAATTAAATACGGCCAGTGGTATGGTAGTTGGGGCCCACATGGCCAACTAAGTGGTTCAAGTCCCAGACCTAGTGGTTTGAAGAACACGTACGGTTCATGTGCATGTGTGCCCAAAATTCCAAGAGGAGAAGGGATTGTGGCATGGCCATTCCCCCCTGGGAGTGATGTCTCACTTTCCCTCTCTCTCTGTTTCTCTCTGGCAAGCACACACCCTACCACACAGAACTTAAAAATACAAAAATAAAGTTTAGAATTCAGTCTTTCAATCACACAGCCCCATTTCAGGTGTTCCTTGGCTGCTTACCTGTGGCCAGCAGCTACCACACTGGGTGATGCAGGTCCAGCATGTTTCTATCGTTCCAGAAAGTTCAGTTGGATAGCACTATTCTGAGAGCTCTGCCTCTAACCTCATTTAACCCTTACAGCAACTGTGAAGTGGATTCCTTTATTTTTCTGGTCTTAAAGATAAGGTAACTGAGGCACCAAGAGGTTAAATGAGCTGTCCAGTTTGCAGCTAGTAAAGGAAAAAGCTCGATTTCAAGTACAGGTTGTCTGGCTCTAAAACCTGTTCTCTCTATCTTTTTTTAAAGATTTAATTTCATTTATTTATGTTTAATTTGACCAGAGACGGACAGAGTGAGAAGGAGAGAGAGGGAAAGCGAGAATGCATGCCACCAGGTCCAGGACTCAAATCGTGGTTGGCCATGTGGGGGTCCAGGGCCCTTAAACGCCACGCTACCTGCTGGCCCCTGACACCTGCTCTCGTAACCACTGTGCTGCACTTGTGTCTCTAGAGAGAGTGAGCAATTAGTTCTGCTCTGTTGAAGATTTAGGGGAAGACAGTTGTTAAAGCTTGACCAGAATTACTCTCTCTTGTTTATTTAGATTATCTTTGTTATCCTTACTCAGTTTTCCCAGGCACCTCTCTACATCCTCCACACCACCAATTTTTTGTACTAACAAAAAACTGTATTGTATTGTACTGTAAAACAAAAAACAAGCCAAAAAAGCACCAGAGATCAGTACATAAAATCTGAAGTTTGCAGGCATATTCTGAGAAGGAACCTCTGATTTGAGGCACACCACGCTTGCTTAAACAGTGGGTGAGCGTGGTCGTTCCTTACACCTAAACCCATTATATCTTAGGTAAAAAGAAGCAGAACCTCTGGGAGGAAACCTTCCTGTCCCCAGAACTTCAGACCCTCTTGCTGCCTGAACCTTTGGGCCTGGTCCTGAGGCTCCTGCAGGCGCCCCCTGATGCCTGGAGAAGCCCCCATTCTCCAACCCATACTGACTCACACTGGGTATGACTCACAGAGACCTAGCTCAGGCCTCAGGCTTAGGTAGAGGCAAGCTGATCCCAGAGAGAGCAGGGCATGAGGAGCTCGTTAGAGACTCTGTGACTAGAGTCTAAAAACCTCTTCCTTATCAGGAACATCTGTCCGTGTAGATAACCACAGATGCGAGAACCCCAGAATCATTCATCATCTCCTCCCTTCTGACTATTCTAGCAATGTTATATTTTTGTTTCTGTTTTTCTGTAGAGATTTTTGCCTTAGGGCACATGTGCTCACCAGAGAGAGAGCTACAGTGAGAGGGAAAATGAGACCTCACTCCCCAGGGGGCATGGCCACAGAGAAGGGTCTCCTCCGATCTCCTCCTGGGATCTTGGGTGCACACACACACACACACACACACACACACACACACGTGCCTGGCGTGAGTTTCAAGCCACCGGGTCCAACACTTGAACCGCGGTCAGCTATGTGGGAGTCCAGTGCTAGTCTTGCAGTTTTATTTTAACAAGGTGGCAGTCATCAGTTCTACTTGTCCCTGCTTGGGTCATGGCCACCACCTCAGAGCAAACTGTCTAGTTCCAAGTGCTCGCTCTGCCATGCACGTCCTCAGCCCTTTCCCTCAGAGTCTTCTCTTCTCATTCACCCCAATCCCAGCATCGTCAGTGCATGGCCTTTTCTCACCTGGAAACCTCGCTTTCTTCCCTTGACCCCTCCAAGTGACGCTAAGATTCAGGCACCACAGAAGCCAGGGACACCCATAGTCTCCAAATGATTTGTTCAGATGGGGAGAAAACTTTTGTCAGTCTTGTGAAAATGTTATGCCACCACCTCATTTTAAAGAAATAACGAAGAAGTACCAGCAGTTGGCGTAATGGCTGTCACTGGACTCCCATGTAGTTGACCACAGTTCGCTCCCACTTAGTCGACTGTGGTTCGCGTCCCGGACCCGGTGGCTTAAACTCACGCCGGGCGCGTGTGTGTGCCTGCCCAAGATCCCGAGAGGAGAATGGAGGAGAAGGGGTTGCGACATGGCCATCCTTCTTGCTTTCTGTCTTTGTGTGGTGAGCGCATGTGCCCTATAGAAAACCCCCCCCCAAAAAAAAAAAAAAGAAATAACAGAGTAAAATTAAAAACTGCCATGCTTTTTAAAATCCCCCCCCCAAAAAAAAAAAAGAAATAACAGCATAAAATTAAAAACTGCCATGCTTTTTAAAAATTTTAAAAACTAATAAAATACTATAGACTGGAGTAAAATGTTCCATCAAACATGGCAAAGGGTCAATATAATATTTAGGAAGCTTACTTAGATATTTAAAGTATCTCAGTCCATAGAGATGTGGACAGTTCACATAAGAGTAAGTATCAAGCCAGGAGGAGGCATACTGGTTAAGGCCCTGGATCCCATATGACCAACTGCATGGTTCAAGTCCCGGACCTGGTGGCTTGAAAAACATGCTGGGGTATGTGTGTGTGCCTAAAACTCCCAAGAGGAGAATGAAGGGGAAGGGATTGCAGCATGGCCATCCCCCACCCCAGGAGTGATTTGTCACTTTCCCTCTCTCTCTGTTTCTCTCTAGTGAGTGCACGCACCCTCTAGTAAAAATAAAAAAGAGCAAATATAAATAGCAATCATGGAGACAGAAGTCAGTGTCAGTAGTATTCGGAAATGTAAGATGGTGTCTTATTGTTTTGATCAGAATATTTGATCAAATATTACAGGGTAAATGATTCACAGTTTATCCCAAAGTAGTATATAACACTCAACGCCCAAATTACATTCAACCAAAAATATCCGTAATATTCACCGCTGGGGAAATTGTTGTGAAACTGGTGTTTTCATGTGCTGCTGGGGGTCATGTGAGTTATTACCCCTGAAGTGGTTTCACCCTTTCCTGGAGTGATTCCAATCATGGGGAATCCTCTCAAGTAAATCATTTGAAAGAAGGAATCTGGCTAGCTCTGTGGCTTTGTGGTCCAGGGAGCCAGATCCCGCATGACTAATCATGATTCAGATCCCAGCTCCAGCGGAGGGGCACATGTGCATTCATGCCCAACGTCCTGACAGGACGGAGAGGGAGCAGGGACCTGGCATGACCATGCTCTATCAGGGGATGCTGTCTCCCTCTCTTTCTCTATTTCTCTTTCTCTAGCAAACTCATGCACCCTCTGGCAAGAAATAAATAAATAAATGAAGGAAGGAATGAAGGAATAAATAAATATTTTAAAAGAAAAGAATGACAGTCACATAATAGGAGGCTGAGCGATGGGATCAAGGGGGTTTGTTTATACTGTCCTTCCTTGCACATGTGAAAATTTTCACAATAGAAAGTTAAGAGTTTGGTTTTGTTTTAATTTTGCCAGACATGTGCTTGCCAGAGACAGAGTAAGAGGGGGAGAAGGAGAAAACACTGCCCAGTAGATGCAGTCATGCTGCAGTCCCTTCTCCCTTCTTTGGGATTTCAAGCATGCCGCACACACATAACCAGCATGTTTCTCAAGCCATCACATCTGGGACTTGAATTACCATGTGGAATCCAGCTCCTTTAACCATCAGGCCGCAGATTGGCCTTAAAGTTACAGAGTTGAAATGCTGTGAATATGACTGTATTCTAAATTCATCTCTGGCAGGTTAGTATGTCAGTTGAACTAAAACCTGAAATAATAGAGCAAAGATGCCCCAGGCCTTCAGTTCCTCTGGGAAAAGTGTACACAGTACAGATACACAGTCTGTTAAGCTTCACGCCTCAGGTGGCAGGCCATGGTTGGAGCCCCTAGGGAGTGGGAGCATTCTGAACAAGAGCTCCCACTGTGCTAGGAAGGACCCCGAGCCGAGGTGGGCACTGGTAGGCTTCCGATGCATCTTTGACCAGCAGACGCCTAGCCTAAGGAGGTAAGAGCCCAGTGCTCAGCAGGGCCCGGCAGGTGGAACAGACATGCTTCCAGTGTCAGGGGGAGAGATGTGCCCTTCTAAACAAGTGTTTCATATGTGACGGGGCTTACATGTAAGGAGAAGTTCAAATATTACAGGGTAAATGATTGGCAGTTCATCCCGAAGTAGTATATAACACTCAAAGCCCAAATTACTTAAATTTTTTAACCTTTTGAAGGTATGAAGGCAAATTTGATACTGGATCAGTCTTTCCACTAATGGTTCAGATCTGCGTATGGTTCGGTCGTCCCTTGGAGAAGACTCGCTTTGTGGCCAAGTGTAAAGGTGAGCTGTGGCTGGGACATGTCCCAGGCCTGGTAAAGGAGCTCCAGTTGTCCCTGCTTCCTATTCCCATTTCAGAATTCTGGGTGCACTTTTTCTCACTGGGACTGAAATAGTCAGAGGGACTTGAGGACATAGCAGTTCTGTGTGTAGGTGGCCACACAGTTCTGTCTCCACTCCATGGGAAAGGTTTTCCCACCCCCAGGAATAGTGAGAGAACCACTGGGGAGCATGGGGGTGGAGGTGGGGGGAAGAACGTGTGAACCCTGGATCCTGAAATAGGGTCCCTCCCTAATGCTTAGCTCTTCCAGCTGTGTGTCCCTGAACTTGGCCTCTGCCCTCAGGTGGGTGACAGCCCTGTCCTCTTTTTCCACCAGCGATTCAGTCCTCCATCAAGCCAAGTCCCTTCTCTGGAAACATCTACCACATCCTGGGCAAAGTAAAATTTTCAGGTAACTGGAACACCATCACGTTTTTCTGGCACTTCTGCCCCTGGGACCCTCTTTCTCCAGGTCCTCCAGCTCCAAAGGGGAAGATCTGCCCTTCTCTAGATGACTTGCTTAGGACTTCACAGCACGTTGACTTTCTTGTTCCAGAATTCCACACCCCTCCTGTCTTGAACCATCCATGGCTGCCTCTTAGATCCGTCACCAGGAGCTGCCCCAATGCTGAGCTCTCCAGCTCCAGATTCATTTCTAACCAGTCTTTGAACCTTTGTGTGGTGGGCTTTTTTATCAGCCTTAGACCTCTGGAGCCCTTGCAGCCTGGTCCTGTCCTGGACTGGGGGTCAGGGAAGCCCCAGACCTGGTGGCTTAAACTCAGGTCAGGTGCATGTGCGTGCGTGCCCAACATCCTGAGAGGAGAATGGAGGAGAAGGGATTGTGGTGTGGCCATCCCCCCTGCAGGGTGACTTCTCGCTTTCTATCTCTCTGTCTCTCTCTGTCTTTCTGGCGAGTGCATGTGCCCTATAGCAAAAACCTCTCCGAAAAAGAGAGAGAGAGAGAATCTAAAAAGGATTTGCTGTGGCTGAAATCTGGGAGGAGGGAAGCAGGGAGTGTGTCTGTTAGGGCAACTTCAGCTGCCATAACAGAAATCCCCAACTCAGCCAGTGTGAGGTATCCAGTGTATAACAAGAAGTCAGGAGGTCAGGTAATGGAATGAGGCCCCTGAAGGCACAGCTTGTGAGTCACTGTGCTGTTCCATTCTTGCTGTGTCAGCCTCTCTGCAGGCTCCCGTCTCTCAGGGCTGCCCACTGGTGCTGCATGTCTAGGAGTCACAGCCTGCCAGGGAACAGAGGCCGGCCCTTGCCCTGAGTGTCTTTATCATGCAGACACCTTTCCCCAGGCACCTCCCCCAACTTCCTCAGCAGACTTCTGTCATTGGCCAGGACTCACTCGCTGTGCCTTCTAGACCATCACCCTTGGTGGGGGGAGGGTCCCTGTTAGAGGAAAGCGGGTGTGGGTGTGTGAGTAGCTGCTCCTGCTGCAGTGAGCCACTGAGGTTTTCAGCTTAGGACTGTCAAGGTCCAAATCGGATAATTAGATGATTTAATCTGTATAAAAGGATCTCAAGGTCCTCAGCTTAATTTATGTTATCAAATTGAAACCTTGGCTTCTTAGCCTAGCCCCTTTCCCTCAGGCTCTGACAGTCAGCCCCTGCCTGCCTCAGATGGCTTAGTGCCTTTATTTCCCTGTCACTCATCACCTCCTTTTATCCTTTACTTACATCTGCCGTTGACTCTTTCTTAAAATGAGGGTTTTAAAATCACACTCTGCCCTGAATTCTCTTCTTAGCCTGAGTTTTGGAGGAAGCCTGCCCTCTTCTACCCGCGGCTCCCCAGCCTATAACCTGGGCATACCTTTCTCATTCCCGTCTTCGTGGCCTCCCTGCAGCACCGTTGCACTGTTGACCGGGCCCTCCTCTCTTGGCCTCTCAGGCCTCTGCTAAGACCTACCCCCTACCAAGGGGGCACTTACCTCCTAATGACTGCGTGGACATCTCCCACACAGTTTCACAGCCCAGATGCCACAGTTGCAGAGTCAAACTCGTCCTCTTCTCTCACCTACAAACTTTTGCTTCCTCCTGTATTCCCCTTTTGGTTAATAGTGCCTGGTTACCCAAGTCAGCCAAGCCAGAAACTTCTCTTGTTCCTCCCTGTCTCGCTCTATCCTTTCTGACTTGCCCCCAGCCATAAAAAATTTCCCTCTGGCCTGAGTCTGGCCCAGCCATCGCTTTGTTATAGTCTTAGTGTAGCCTTGTCCTCTCAGGGCAGGGTCTCAGGACTTGCTCGTGTTCTCCTTGCAGATTCTGAGAGGATCATGGAGGTCTGCCACAATACTCTGGCCAACTCCTTGAGCATCGTGCCGGTATTGGAGGGGCCCACGCCACCACCCGACTCCAGAAGCATCGCCCAAGACAGCAGCGGGCAGCAGGAGTGCTACCTCGTGTTCATCGGCTGCTCCCTGAAGGAAGACGGCGTCAAGGACTGGCTGCGGCAGTCCGCTAAGCAGGTGGTTTTCAGAGCCCGGATAGACTCGTTGCAGACAGGACCAGCACATCTCGGGGGGTTTCTGGCCCTGAGAAGCCCCCCACTGCCACTCTGCTGGGCCACCCCTCACAGGCTCAGCCAGCACTTTTAGGGTGACTTTGAGAGTGAGGAAAAGGCACTCGGAGCAAGTTCTAGGCAGACATGGCTTGTGGTCCATTCTGAACCCAGGTTTTCTGCAGGCTTTGGGTGCTAATTCTCTTAGCACAGCCTCAGGGGGTTCACTTATCCTAGAACTCTGGGGATGGAATTGGCCGGGGCCTGAGTCATTGAGAGTGTTCAACTATGACCTGACTTTACGCCGAGCCATGGGCCGACTCACCTGGGCAAGACCTTAAATAGTGCTTGACTATGGGACCGTGCTCAGTCCCTTTGTCTGCGCATCTGTCACTGATGGGACTTAAAGATGAGCATCTACAGCTGCAGGACCATGTCTGTTTGCAAAGTGGGCTCTTGGCCAGTTGTGTACTGGCTCACAGGGCTCCGTGGTGGGAAGGTGGTCTTCTTAAGGTGTAGGAGGTCAGGTCCAGACCATAGTGTCATATGCTTTTCCCTCCACTGGGATCTTGGATGGTGCCCACCCCTGAGCCCAAGCCCTTCCACGTCCATGTCCTCTATCAGCTCGGTTGGGACCTGACCCCTCCCTGCATTTCTGCACAGAAGCCTCAGAGGAAAGCCCTGAAGACCAGGGGGATGCTGACCCAGCAGGAGATCAGGAACATCCACGTGAGTGCCCTTACCCTTCTCTCCCTTCAGTGGCCCAAGGCTTTCCTCCTGGGATTGCTCATTGTGTTGCAGCTTTTGGAGTCTCTGAGTGAGAGACTGTTCTTAGAGCTTGCTGGAAGTCCTCTTTCTCTCAGGTCACACAGCGAAGCTGGGTAGAGACCGGCCTTACAGCCTCAGTGAAGAGGAGGCAGGTGGGACCCAGGCATTGGGTGGAGGAAAGCGGGCAGCTGTGAAAGCAGCAGGTGTTGGAGGGTCTAGCCTTGTCATTGTCTTCAGCAGCTGCAGAAGACATCAGACAGATAAAACAACCAGGGCCAGGGAAAGACTGTCTGTTTCTGGAAGCTGCTCATGGGAGGGTTGTGGAAGCCTCAGGGCAGGCCCAGGTGACCCCCACCCTCTGTCCCAGCCCCTACAGCTACTAGGGCTTTTTCCTGAGCAGTTTGAGGACAGCAGGTTGAAAAATACACAGATTCTAGACCCCAAAATGAGCTAGGTCAATAATGAGCAGCAGCAAGCAGCAGAAGTGCTGCCCTGTGTTCCTCGGCTACTTCCTGAAGGAAAAGAGCCTCAAGGACTGGCTGTGGCAGTCGCTAAGCAGGTGGTCTCCGAGCAGTCCTAGTAATGAGCAGGTAGGGCAGGAGAGTACCTGGGACTCCAGAAGCCCTGACTTTGGACTTGAGGGAGGACCCTTGATAATCAGCTCTGCAGGACCCAGACAGCCCTGGGTGCTCCTGGGGAGGGCAGTGTGGGCAATGCAGAAGGCAGTCCTTGTAATGCATATTCCCCAGAAGCAGACCTTGAATAAGGATTTGAGTGCAGGTAGTTGATCCTGCAGTGATTCCTGAGTGGAAGACACTCAGTAGGGAAACGGGAAAGTGAGCAAGGGAAGGGGAGTGGAGCCAATACAGGTGGTGGTGTTGGCTGGTACCTCTGTGAGCCATGGGAGCTTGAACTCCCAGCTTTCCTCACCAAGAGATCGAGGACACCATCAGCCATGGCTTGGTGTGGTGCCTGCTTATCTATATCCAGAGGGGCTATCTTGCTAGGGCAGTAGGCCTGTTTCTTTGTTTTTAATGAGTGAATGAATGATCTGAAGTATATATATAT